TTTTTTTTTTTTTTTTTTTTTTTTTTTTTTTTTCTTGCTTGATATGCTCTTCAGGTAACTGTAGGCTTTCATTACATCTCTGTCTGGCTTAATTCATAAAACTGTCCTTCCAAGCTTTTTCCTAGATCATGGAAAAATGATTCAGGAAAAGATCTCTTTAGCTGGCCTTGTTGAGTTTGCTTGGGATATGAGGAGCAAAGATTGGAGTTGAAGAAGCTGATATCAAATCAGGAAATTTCTGAGAGAGAGGGAGCAGGTTTGGAAATTCTAAATTGAGGTGTAGACATGTTAGGATGGGGAATTAAATGTAGTTGTGTCTGTTGGAGTAGGGGGATGGCTTTCTGTGAAAATGTGTCATGCAAATGGGCAGGGAAAAGTCTAGAATGTACAGCTGGAACGTGAAGCAAGATCAGGGAAGGAGCAGCATGTCACCTTGCAACATGAGGCTTTAGGGCAAGCTTGCATCTTTTGTAGCACTGCTGAGACACAATTGCTTGTAAGTAAAGCTAACAGCTTGTAGGTCTTGGTTGTAAACACTTTAGAAATGTGTGCTGTTGAGGTCAGTTGCCAAGCGTAGTTAATTTGGCAGGAGAGCTAGCACTGTCTGGGCCATTTATGGTACTTCAACAATGGAGAATTTGAATGCGTGATGCATTTTTTCTTTGCAGTTTTGAATGTTAGTTGCTAAATGACCTCTCTGAATGTCTGCTTTATCTGTCTGATGATCAAATGTTTTTATTGCTGCCAGTCATACTTACGAAGTCTGAAATACTGTTAAGTAATCCTTCAAGTGAATCATGAGTGTGTAGAGAGAGTTAGGCCACTAGCCTGTTCATACAGTAGTTTTTGTAGAGGTAATTTTGCAACAAGTTAATCAAATGGGAACAAGAGCTCTTTATATTGCAAACAGCGCAGAGTGCTTGGCTTTTGCCAGACTCAAGGACGATTCTGTCTCCTGGGTTTTGCCAGGACTAAACTGGAGAGTTGATTCTGTACGGTGTAGTACTGTGTCATGTCAGCTAGCAATGGAGATTCCCTTGATGTTGTTTTTATGTGTAACACCAGTACTTCACTTATCTCCAAGTCAGAATGGTCAGAATGCCAAAAGTACATGATTTTTAAAAATTTCCCTGACTTAAGATTCTGAATTGGTCTTCTGGTGTTGTGAGTTTTCTCTTCAGACATAGTCATGACCAAGAATTGAACTAATTATCACTGTTGCTCTATAGGGAAATAAGCAATCATTAAAGGTACAAAGGTGATAAATGAGGCAAAACATGATGCAAGTTTAACGAGAGAGGTGATATAAGTACTGTGAAATTATTGTTCTGAAGACTTCAGAGGGAGGAAGAAAAAGATTATACATAATCTGTCTAATTTCAGCAAGTTTTTTTGTATTATGCCGTACAGAGAAAAAGGGCCTTTATATAAGACCTTAAAGATCAATAAGGAAAGAAAGAGACCTATATGTATTTTGTGAGGAGGAGAAGATCGCTCGTGGAAATCGTGGTGTGGATTTTTTTTCTTCTTTAGCCACTGGTGTAAAAGAATGGAATTGTGCATGGAGAAGTAGGGATGTCCTTGTACAAGGCCGAGATGAGGCTTCATAAAATTTCACTAATATATATTCTAAAGACTTGAGGTTTGTGAAGATCCTTAAGGAAGTAAGCAAGCCTGTTACAAAATGGAGCAAAGAGCAGGGAAGACTTATGTACCATAAGAAATGAGCTAGAGTGCATATATTTAATCTGGATTTTAGACAAAGGGAAAGGTAGATTTGTTAAACAGCAAAACTGGCTGTGATAAAAAAAAATAACTCAGTGAATAAATTGAGGTCCATTATTAGAAATGTTGTAGTTGAATCTGTCTCTTGTTATGCGTTTGGAGGGTGAGATCATTTGGATCAGTTTTGAGATGGAGTTCTGTGATTTGAATCCATTCAGTTGCTGGTGAGCAGGGCTGTCCTTTCCTTTTCGGTATTCCCTGGTAAGACTGTTCACTCAACTATATTTAGTACTAGGCAAGGAGATTTCTGCACTGTTGAAAGAAGAGGAAAACCTTGCTGGATGACTGATTGTTCTAGGCAGTCATGCCTGAAGGGCATTTTATGTTCCAAAAGCCTTTGTAATTAAACCTTGTGGAAAAGGGAGTTGAGATAGTTATATGGAGTGCTATGGATTTTTTAATTCCATTATATGAATGGGAATGTGAGTAATTGTACTGAGAAACCGTATGCAGTTTCATGTAATTAAACAGCATCTGGCAAAGGCTGTAAGCACACTTTTGCTCAACACGTGTAATGAGTTTTTAAAAGACAGGGAATCTACAGACATGCTTTGTGTTGGAATATCTGCTTTGTATTTGACATGAGTCATATAGATGCTTTCAGAGCAGTTTCCTAGTGAGTACATCCTGAAGTAAGGCAGAGTCATATTAAGGGGAAAAAGTTAAAAGCTTTCAAGTGTGGGAGCTTCCTTGTTGATATGCAGAGTGTTAAACCAAAATTGGGATGAGAGCTGTCATCACAAGCAAGGTCACAATTGCATTAGATACCCTTGAGTTCAGGGCAAGATGCTGGGCAGTTTCACCTGTTATAGCACTTCTTTTGTCTGTAAGTACTAATATCCTGTTGGAAGTATTTCATGCAGCTGTTTACCCTTTAAACAGTTGTTATATAAGGCAACTTATTTTACATAATACATGTCAAGCATTCCTAATATATTGGGTATGCTGTTTTATTGGATTTGCTGTCATCTACATCAGAAGAGTGCTTGGCTTCTTATTGAACACTTCCTTGTTGGTGAGACATGCAGTAAGAGTTCCTAAAGTCAACAGCAGTGTGGGGCTCTTTTACAAATTGTTATGTTATGGGATGCGTGCTATTGTCCTTCATCATACAGCTGTTGGCTGAAAATAGATAGTAGGCTGCTAGGTGCTCTTGTTCTCGTTGTCCAGCTACTGTGTGGATCTCAGACCATGGGACCCCTGTCAGTTGGTGGAGCTGTAGGAAGCTGGGAGTCCTGATTTGATACCATGAGTCAGGAGGACTATCTCACTAAGCACCCTGCACGTTCAGTGGAAGAAGGTGATCTGTTCCACTTCGAATCAGATACCTAGTATGGAGGCTGTGGATGGCCCCCAGAGGAACTTTATATTGTGTGGAGAGGATTGTGCACAGACACAGCTGTCTAGATTTGTAGAGGTGGGTTGGGTAGCATGCGTGAATACCCTTCAGTGCTGTCTCTGTTTCAAACAGTAGGTGTCAGTGTGCACCCAACCTGAAATACGGTACTAGTGTGCACGAAAGCAGCTGAATGCTGAAGAAAACAAGGCAGTTATTTTTCTGCTTAGTAAGGAAGTAAGTAATAAAAATATAATGTACCACATTTAAAGGGAAAATTATTGGATCTGAGCTTGGAAAAGTGTGAAGATAGTTAGAAACACTGAAAGCATGTTTTCTGTTTGATGGGTCTTCTCAGTAATTAAGAGCACATCTCTTTATTTTTCATCTCATTATTTTCACACTTAAATGCCAACACAATCCTTCTCTTTGGGGAATGTGTGTCAGATGAAATGGTTGCCTTAAGATAGATCCCATGTGGATCAGAAATATTACATCTCACAGTATGCAGCACTCGTGGAAAGTGAAACATTCTTAGACAACAGTAATAGCAGTAACAGTGGGAAAAAAAAAAAGAATTTCCTGGGTCATGTGCTAGAATTCTATACTACAGAGGTCTTCAGAAGTTTCTGAAGAAATTTTTAGTTATTTAAATATAAAATATTTAAAGGAACTTAAATAAATATTGTCTGCTTTGCTGGAATGGCAGAATGTTATCTTTTTCATGGCTGTTATAAGGATTTCTTATTGTTATGCTTGGCTTTTTGAAAGCAAAACCAGAAATATTTTCACTTTCCGAAAAAAGCACATGGATCATAAATAAATGTCAGCAGCGAGTGGCCTTTGTTTCAGATTGCAAGTACGGCTTATGATTTAGGCAGTTCAGTATGTCCAGCAATTAATTTATTCACTCCATAAGTGAAAACCCCATCTGGGAAAGTACTGTGCCAGTAAGTCAGTTTGTTATGGTTGATTCATACTGCGCTCTTTTAATATATGAATGCTGATAGGTTTTGCTCAGTAGGGCCTTGAGTGGAAAAGCAGGAGAGGAGTTTTGGTATCCAATTCAATTATTTGTTTGCTGTAACAAGATGCCCAATACAGACCAAGCAGAGTGTGGTTATTGCATAACATCATTCTCCAGTGCATATCTCTAAGTCTACAGTTACTAGCTGGAGTGGCAGAGATTTAATATCAGCCTAAAGCTGGCAGAAAATACAACTTTTCACATACTTGAGGTTGAAATGGAATGGAAGGAGAGGCCATAAAGTAAGGATTTACCTTGCGTGTGAAGCAAGACATGATCCAGAGGGAGCACCTGAGTGTGTGAGAGTAGCAAAAGACTTCAGTAAACAGGCTAGATAACACTGAGAAGTGCCAAAGGTCAGACTTCCTGAAAGGAAAAGCATTAGGGTAGCAAGAATCCACTTCAAGAGTTTATAGCATTTAAAACATCTGCACTGATGCAGGTTTTTTGGCTGGCCCTCTGAAAATAAAAATCCCCAGCACTGGAAAACTTTCTGCTGCTTTCTTCTACAGGCAGAATATCATTTATATCAAAAGTAACTATTTTTTATATGTAAGTCACAGTATGTTGTACAACAGGTGCATAACATAATAAATATAATCTTGCTGTGGAGATAATTGGCCGTATCTATCAGTGAAGTGGAGCTGACAAGAGGAGAAAATAATTAACCAAAGCACAACATGATTTCCCACTGTACAGATGATTTGATGAACAAAGCAGCCCATCTGAGGCAGCTCCCAGCACAATAGGGCGTGCCAAAAGGGCTCTTCTGGATGTGGCTTGCTTGGCCTGCTCTGTGAAGCATAAACCTAATGATGGGCTGACTTTAGCCACCCAGGAAGTTTGGAAAATGCTTCAGGATGCATCCCACATGCCTAGTGGCTCCTCTGAGCTGTGAAACCTATGGAGAGCCATGCCTATCCCTGCGCATGCCAACACACTCAAGCACATCCACATCCATCAGCAGGCAGACAAGAATCTGAAAGCCTTTGGATAACTCCTTCCTCTCTATATATTTATGTATTCTAAGTGGAAGTCCTTGCTATAAAAAATGTTTGGTGCAGAGTAAGTAAACCAATTTAGCAGTGTATTTTAATTAAACTTCAAAATGAAACAAGGAAAGCTATGAATTGCGGAATTTAAACCATCTGGAAAAACTCTGATTTAAGATCTACATATTGGAGATAGAGAGATAGATAATAAGAGAGCTTAAAATATCATGGGTCTAAGAACAAAGTCACATTCAGTAAATAAGGAAGAACTACCTGTAAGAGAAGTTGAAGAAAGGAGAGTGTGATAGCTTCACTTGCTGTCATTCACTAAGTTGGTCTGCAACTCTGTATGTACTTCCTTTGTATTTATTGATAGTTTGAAAATTGCTGTATTATTGGCTCTCTGACAGAATATAGTTTGAATAGGGTTCTTCTAAATACCACAAAGTAATTGTTATGCAGATGTGTGTCATTATGAATTAGTAAGCTTACTGTACTCAAAACTGAATTGGTGTTGGTAAAGCACACAGTAAACTGAGAAGGTATTTGGGAATTACAAACATTTGTGACATTTTGTTGAGGTATTTTTTTGCAGCTTTATCGCTTGATTCTTATTACTGCTTTTTGTGTTAAGAAGGTCCCGCGTGTTTTCAGTGCTGATGTGAGTGGTTTGCTGATAGTGACTGTTGGTTGGCCTTGAACATTGCACATGGGGATAACAGCATGAACTCTCACTCACATACAGTGCCTAGCAGTTTATTAGGTTTACGTGAAACAGGGCCTTGCATTTTCAAACCTGTTAGAAGTAGAAGGAAAAGCTGTTTCTGGATGTTTTATGCCTTGTCTGATGAATTGCTATACCCACGTCTTAGGAATGTTTTCAAAAGACTAGAGTCCAAACAATCCTATCTCCCCTTCTCTTTACCATCTTCCTTGACAGGAAAACAGAGAAAGAAAGTGTGATATGAAGGATACCGCACTCAGTATGGATTGCTTGTAAACATTATAGAAAGTTGATACAGTATTAACTTACCCACAGGTAGGAGCTGTAGCCATAAGATCAATTTCATATTATAATGTGGTTTAGCCTACCAGGCTGGCAGCTTACTTGTTAATCGATCTCTCTGATGGATCTTAAGATCTCTGGAAAGCCATATCTTAAGACACAGTTTCAGGCTCAGAAGAGGCCAAGTGGTTTGTGTAACTAAGTAGGAAAGCAAGGCGGATGCTTGAGATGTGAACTTCAAATTGCAAAGCCATGTAATAGTAGTCAAGATGTTGCATATGAGAAGGATCTTGCAAGTCTTTTCTGTATGTAAGTTGCATGTCTGAAAAATAAGTACAGTGATTTAATACCTGTTTGTGATTGTCCCATTCATGAACTCATTCAAATAACACAGCTACTCGGGTGTTGTGTAGGCAGTGTGGAATCCACTGGGAAATACGTGACTGCTTTCATGCTGTGCCACAGCTCCAGGGAGCTGGGTCTGCACATAGTGAGCAGGGCCTGGAGGGAATGTGTGTGGTCGGGGTATGCTGGTTCACCAAACCGAGGTGAAGGCAGTGGCTCAGCGGAGGAGAGCAGAAGCACGTGTGTCTGGTTTGCAGCTGGGGTTGTGGGTTTGTACTCAAGGGAAGCAGAAAGGAAGCCTTTAGTTAGCGAAGGGAAGTTGGCTGTTACTGGTTCTTCTGCACTGAAACAGTCTGTGAGAAACTGTTGGAGGCTGAAAGCAGTGAATGGCTGCTTTGGCAGAAAGCACTTTGTCTTATAACCTGTCCACTCTTTTCTGGAATTTATCAGCCAGTCACACTGCTAATACTGCTGATACAGGGAAAAACTCTAATGAACCCTCTGGGCCTGTAACGTGTCTGACTTAACGTAGATCACAGGGGTGATGAATGGTCACGGGGGTCACGTGCCGCCTTATCTGTAGAGCTGACTCAGCACTGGAGCAGCAGGCGGGATGGGACGTGGCTAAGCTGAGTCTGGCCCTGTGCAGAGGGAGGATAGCAGTGGCAGCTGTGCGAGGTGGCACGTCAGCTTGTTCAGCAGCAAGCAGTGACACCTGGAATTGTGTCAGCTTTTCTGAGCCTGGGCATGGCCTGGAAAGGAAAAGGAAAAAGAAAGAAGTGTGCATTGTATTTTTAAATACATGAACATAGAAAAGCTGCAGAAGTATTTTGAAGTGAAAAGACTATTTTTCTTTTCTCCTCAATTAATAGTTATAAGTCCTTCAACATTCAGTTTGCTGTCATACATTTTCAAGTCAGCCTCAAAAAGCAAGAACGTTTGTGATGAGGTTAAAACAACCTGCTGCCACAGAAAGCTCATGAGAAAGCAAAGGCTCTGCAATGTGTTGAAGCTGAAATACTTTCCATTAGATCTTGGAATGATGGGCACATGAGTTCTTGAGGATATTGGCATTGTCACAGTGTGCCACGTCTCTGTGGGAGCAAAAAGTCCCAAAGGGGAAGACTTGTGGCATGTGCATGCAATCTATAAATCTTTTCTTAGTGCTGCGAAGAACAAATGTTTTAAGGCATTGTTGCACTTAGTAGATGTAACTTTCTCCTCTTTTTATTTTACACAGCACCCATGTATCACAAGTCAGTAGTAACATTCCTGCTACAGGAGAGTAAGTGTCTCTTTTACTATTTTGTAGCTTTTTTTTTTTTTTTTTTTTTTTAATATTTAAAGTTTTTTAAGTATTGCTGGCTATTCTTTGATTTCTCTCTAAGGGTTGCTCTTGCACAAACAAAAAGGACATTGTTTCCCAAACTTTAGAATCTGCAATGATAAGTTTGTTTAAGCAGATTCTGCACGTATAGAGAAGCTATTCATGTTGTCCTCGTGCTCTTGTTTGCACCCTGTCCTGTCTCAGCAAAGGACAGGACTTGATCCCTGAACTAACTCCAGTGCCAGTGAGAGCACAGAGCTGATGAGTTGGCACCCCTGCCAGAGGTTGGTGGGATTGCAGGGCTGATTCTTGTCAATACATGAAATACAGATGTGCTCATCCAGTTGAACCATAAGATTTTTTAGCAATTGCTAAGATCTTTTGACTTTTTCAGGAAATGCAGTCTCAGTAGATTTAAATCTATAGCAGCTTAGCAACAGCTTTTGTAAATTCTCTGTAGAAGTCAGCCCAGGTGCACGTTCACATGCTTACAGCTACCAGGTTGAAAATTAACCAGCATATCTTGTAAATAATATTTTTAGTTACGGAAAAAGCACTTGAAGTTAGGTAGGGAATTAGGTCAGGCATGTTTGAAAAACTTTTTCTTTAGCAGACTACTTAAAGCATTGCAAGAAACATGGGTGGAGCAAGGAGACACTGAAATGTGTTTCCTAATGATGTTTAAAAAGTAAAAAGCGTCTTATTTAGATTTTGCCCATAAAAACTTCCTCTGATTAAGGAAGGAAGGAAATATTATAAGGAAATGTGAGTGCCAAAATGAAGTAGATTTGGTTGTGTTGAAAGTTTGGGCGGCCTGACAATTGTAATTGATGGAACTGCAGAGGCTCCCCTGCTGTGGCTTGTGTGGAAGCTCTCTTAGAGCTTAGCTCACTAAGAGAGTGCCAGGGGGCATGATAGCAATCTCACACCAGAATACTTTGAGAGCAGCTGCGGATGTGTGCATTCATGGTATGAGAACAATGCAAAAACAGCAAGAGCTCAGAGCCAGGTCGGTATTCAGTCACTGAGTGGAGTGTACAGTGAGGTGCTGTCAGCATGTTTTCATCCCCCCTGTGAGATAACATTGAATCACCTTGCAGATGACTTGTAGACTTACCGAGCTCCGATTGCACCACGGACTTGACCAGTGTCATTGGTGTTTGGGTGGCAAAAAAGATCTTGTCAGAGCAAGAAATGTTAAAGTGGAGGGTAAAAGTTGTTGATGGTTGCAGTAAAGCAGCTGTTTTACAGAAGGCTCAGGGAACCCTAGAAATTTTCAAGGGCAAAATGAACTGGAGAAGCTCAGCTTCACTGAAGGACCTGAGCATCAAGGTATCTGAAGATTTTGGCTTAGCTTTTTGCAGACATCATGGGCCCTAGTGCATTTTATACTGCCTTGCCATCGTATTAAAACATAACCCTGTGATACTCATCCTTTATGTACTGTTGCAGAGAAGGAGCTCCAGAAACTATTTGAGCTCAATTGACCTTATTTTTCGGCTTGACAGGTATTTAGAGAAGACAATCCGCTCAGCCGTGGAGCAGCATCTCTTTGATGTTCATGGCTCAGGCGGCCAGAGTTCAGAGGACTCTGAATCGGGAACATCTTCAGCCTCTTCTAATGTGTCTGCCAGGCAGAGGAGGCGACAGCACAAAGAGCAGGAGGAAGCCCGGAGAAACAGAGACATGTACGATCCTGATTTCTTCGTTTTGGAAAGTATATGTGATCAAGTGTACCTTAGTTATGTCCTCAAACAGGCGCTGCTTGGTGGTTCTGTTAAGAAATGTATTGGTCTTTGCCCTCTGTTGAAAGTACAGCCTGCAGTGCCTGTGCAGAGCTTTGTTACATCAGTGAGAGCTGAGAAATGTGGAGTTTATTAGAGATAATTGAGTGGCCAGAGCATGATAAGAAGACACCTATAGCAGTATAGTTGAGTTCTTAATTGAAGTGTTTTGAAATGTTTCATTGCTGTATTTACTGTTTTAGTGGAAATACCCGAGCAGTTGACCCTAGGGCCAGTAAAAACCATTCTCCTTCTGTATGTGTAGGCACAACTTATGTTCAGATCTATTAAAGAGCCCTAGGAGTTCATCTGAAAGTAGAAATGATCCTTTTGAATAATCAGAACCTAAGAATTTTTATCCACCATTACGTTAAATGTTATTTAGTGACAATTTTCATAAAATGTCTACCAAAGAGTAAAAATAATACAATTTTTTCATTTTATCCTGCTGTAGTTGTGGCATGTACTGGGTGGTACAAATGTGATATAAACTACCACAGCCTTAAAAAGCACATGTCCAAGGCATAGGTATCTTTGAGGAATTGTAACTGGAGATTTTGCAAGCACGTAATCTAATTAGTGCTTACAGATACATCTAACTTTAAACATTGTGCTAATTTTTTAAGGACTGTGCATTTTTGGCTGCAGTATTGGATTGCTAGGATTTCAAGTTAGATTCTGAAATACAGATCTAGGCTGTTGTTTTTCTAGGATGCTGAATTCTCCAAATCCTGTTGGATCTGCACCTTTCTTTACCAAACAACTTTTGCATATAACCATAAACTTTAGTACCTCAGGTGAATACTGCAGCTATGTTATTTCCCAATACATGCCAGTGTTTTGTTTTTGTTTTTCAAAAGTCCGTAGTCACAAAATAAAAAAGGCATTTCCATAGTGAATGAAAATATGCTGTGAAGATGGACTGGGAAATGAGCACTTGCAAGTCACCTAAGTAGCTGGCAGCAGCTCTGCAGTAGTTTTTCTTGTTTAGTAGCCCTGCTGTCAGGCTTCACAGGTAAGTAGGTCAGAGACTGGCTAGTGTACGTGTATGGAAGCATATAGTACTGCAGGGTTTTTTTCAGCATTGTGTTACAGAGCATTACAGAGCTGCCTAGGGCACTCAAGCCTATCTTGACGCAGTTGTTCACGTTCAGTCCCTAAAGCCCAAGCCAAGAATTTAACACATTGGAAGTTTTGAATGTTGGCTTGGTTTCAAATTATTTTCCCTGGTTCCTGTAGGTCTGAGTGCTGACACTTCTGGGGGTGGATTATCAAAATTCAGAAATCCTTTCAAAACTACTTCTAACCCCCCACCCCCACCCCTTTGGTTGTCAGTGACTTCATCTTCTTGCCTTGTGATAGATCACAAGAGGATTTGTAATGTCACAAGATGGAACTGCAGAATTAATACAGCTAGGAAGAGCATTCATCACAAAAATACATACATGCAGACCCAGGCTTTGCAGACTGTGATTTCTGCAGGCTGTGTATACGTAATAAATCTACTCAGGACATTGTAAAAACTTTCAGAGAGGCAAATGGACTATCTGAGAAGTTTTAATCCTATAATCTCTTTGCATCTCTCTTCCAGTAACCAACCCTAGAGATTTGAGATCTAGAAAATCACTGGAACTTTGTTGTTTGGTTTTTATTCTGAATACTTAGTCGTGCTGGCTCTGTCCAAATACCGCAGACTAACCATTTTCTTATTACTCTACTGCAAGTCAAGAGAAATTCTGCTGCTGTCTGTGAAAGCAAGCTTTGGAGTTGCACAGCACTGTATAAGGCAGCTGCACATCAAGTAGTTAGCAAACATGTAAGTTTTTATGTCAAGTGTAAGCAGCTATTCTTTAGCCTGAACAGGATAGTCTTAGTGAAGAATGGGATGCGTTGTTTTTCTTCTGTTTCCATACTGTAGTTTATCTGTTATGTGTGTGCCTGCTCAGTATTGCATAAAGTAGAAGACCACTAACAGATTGTGAAGAAAAGTCTGCATTGTAGGACCCAGCGGGACAGTTGTGCAGGGAAAGTTAAGCTGTTTGCCAAGCCCATGAAAAACGTACACAAACCAGGCAAGCACAGAGAGCCCCAGCTATCTTGTCACATGATGGTTTCTACGTAGTTGCCCTATTGCTTTCCAGCGCAGCAGAACAGTCCTCTGTCCTAGTTGTGTTGCTATTGCAGAGATGCTTTCCCTTTTTTATTTTGTGTAATTTCCAAATAGGAATCAATCATTTGACTGAAGCACCACTGCCTCGTTCTTGCATTTGAGAAGATGAGTAAGAGGGACGATTATATGGTGTCATGGACCAAAGGAGCTCCCTGTGCCACAACTGTGAATCAGTTTTCTATATTAAAAGCATGCGTCTTACAGGAAAATATGCTGCATATTCTCTATAAAAGTACGACAGACAACTAGGAGTTAGACTAGCTTCCATCTGAAGTCAGTGGGATTCTCTGCGTTGGCTTTAGTCGGAAGTGAATCAAGTGTTGGCCCTGACAGCTTTCTCACCAGGAGTGTATACACCTGGCTTTCACTCCTCAGTAGGATTTAGCATTTCACAGTGTATGTTGTTTGCTGCAGTAGGAAAAACCAGAGATACTGGTTTCATAGGGCGTAGAAGATGTTGCCGGAACTGCACCAGTCAGCATAATACATTTCTGTATTGCTATCATAAATGTAGCGGGAGAGCATTTTTAACATTGTTTTAATGTCACTTTTTGTTTTAGGGAAGTCATCAACAAGGAGAACATTCCATCTGGTTTCAGCAATCTTGAAGACTGTATTCTAACTACCCAAGAAGTAGAAAAGTTACAAGACAACAGCTCTGGATATCTTAATGAAAGGAATAAACCAAAACGGCAGAAATCCAGCACCAAACTTTCAGAGCTTAATGACAACCAGGATAGTCCTGTGGTAAGCTGGCATGCTGCACTATTTGACACCTAGGGTGGGAAAAAGATTTTTTTTTTTTTAATTTCAGTGCACATCTGGTTCCCTCTGGTAGCCACTTAATACATGCATAAGTGTCTCTTCTTGATTATGGGGAATACTTATCTCTGCACTTGTAATCTTTGTAAAGAGGAATCAAGAAGCTATTTTTCCTTCATGATCCTCTTACTTCTCTGTAGTCATTTTCTCTTTCCATGACTTTTTTCTTATGTCTTCTGCATTTAGCAAAGTATTACAGAAAAAGAAAAAGGATATAATTTCTTTTTCCCAGTCTTTCAAAACTCTTACGAGGTGAATGGAACTTCAGATACAGGATCATGTTTTAAGGTTGAGTTTATTTTTATGTTTCTGTTATAAGTTATGAAACTACAGATCTCAAATGTCTTTCCGATAAGATGATAAAATGCATGTTATTCCTTTTCCCTACAGTCTATATGTCATGTTACATTTGCAGTTTGCAAAACGCTTTTGAAGCGTGTTGGTCCCAGAGATTATTTTTCTAGCCAGACTTCACTGGGAAGGTATAGTGGGCACATGTATAGTGCTCTAAAAATCCAGAATACTGTGAAATTTATGCAGCATATTTTTGTGTGACCTCACAGGAGAGAGTTTGTCAAATTATACATGCTGTAGAAGAAAACTGATGTTGTCTCCTTCTCTCTCAGCCAACCAGACATTGATTATGGTGTCAGCAATTGAGAAACTGTATTTTGCTTTTGAGTATGGGTTCTGCTTACAGTAGATGCACTCTGCATCCTGGTGCCTGGATCATGCAGCTGCTAATAACAGCGAAAGCTGTGTGAAGAGATTAGAATTCTGAACTACAGAGCATTTCCTTTTAAGTTTTAGTCTGCTCTGAGTTCCTTCTTAATGTAATATTGTGTTGTGACTCATTTTGTTTAAGTTGTGAAATTGCCGTGGTCTTATGCTCTACCCTCTGTGCAGAGATCCTAAGGAGAGGCAGATTTGGCTTCTCTTTTTGATGAAAAGAAGGCGAGATGCCAAGAACTGTAGACTGTACTTAGATTAACAGTCAGTATCAGTAACCTGTAATGTGATGTTTGGTGAAAGAGCATGTGCTTCTCGCTTTGGGTATTTGATTGTAGCTATGGGCTTGAAGGCAGGCGAACATCAAGCGCTTGTACTTCTTTCTGTGCTTCTACTATGTACCTACACAGCGCACAGCAGCTTCAGTGTAAATAACAATTTGATTCAGTATTTGGGGAAAGAAAGTCCATCAAAAGTTTCGGTTAAGAGTGTAAACTGAGGACCTGAAGAACGCTCCTAAAGTCTTTAGAAGTTCTTTAAGGAAATGTCCTCAAACTTACCTGTCTCTACTGGACTTTGCCCTACCCTTCATTTTTTTTGATTGTTTTTGAATTTTGAAGGGACAAAGGCTGAAAGCAATTTACAACAAACTGACCATGCACAAAGAGCACTTTGGTTAAGGTGATTATTCTGTCAGTATGGTCCTTGTTTGCTTTGCCAGAATTGCCACAGTGGAACTGTGAAAGAAGAGCGTTGTTATGAAACAGCCTGCAGAGAATATGATGTTACTCTTTATGAAATAAAAGCACAGGCTGCTCTTTAAGCTTTCATGAATGCGCTTATTTAATACTCACGTATTTGAGACTGCCAGCAGGATGCAACGTGTGGTACCTTTGCTTTCTTTTGGCTATATCTTTACCCTTAAAATAGGTTTTCAGTAGGTTGAATTAGCTACTATATAGGTATAACAGGACATAACCTGCTTTTGCTAATAGGGCCTTCCCATGAAAACAAGATTGTGCTGTTGTTGTTTCTTCCCCACCTTTTTTAATTGTCCTTCTGTAGCAACAAAGCCTGAAAGAATATGTAGGACAGTGTGTGGAAGCTCTCCTCTTAGCTGTCTAAGTGAATCTGACTCAAAAGTACAAGTCAGCAGTGGAAAAATGGTCGGTTCCATTGGTTCCAAGCAAAGGAGCATTAAAAGCTTGTAACTACACTTGAGTCATAGTAGCCAGGTTCCACTAGGAGTTGGAGAATCTCATTAAGCAAGGCTAGAATGACTGAGCCATTTAACTCTACAGGGCTGGAGGTGCAGCGGGTGAGAGGAGGCTGTGGGTGCCCCAACAACCACACTCTTCTCCACTCATTTCCTTCCTCTTCTTTAAGGCAGATTTGTCCAAATACCAGAGTACAAAACCTCCTGGTCACATGCCCAAAGTGGCAACATTGTGTTTTCAGTACGTACCTCTGGTGTGGTGTGTACCGTTTTATTTCTTCAGGCTTTTTGCAAGAATGCACTCTAGCTATAGGGTTGAGGCAGTTTTGAAGCATATTTCCAATATGGAAGAACTCAGTACCTTCACTTCTGCTTACTTTTTTTTGGTAGGTGCTCTATGACTGAGTCACAGTCAACAGAAAGTAAAACAGAATTATTACATACAAACTTAGTGTGTCTGACACGGCTTTATTTAAAAAAAAAAAAAAAAAGTATTATGATCAATTCAGGTGAAGGGTTTGATTTTTCCTGTGAATTTCACCATCAGTGAGCCACAGAGTACTGCTGCCTTGATGTGCAGTATTTAATTCAATTCATATTTCCAGATTGACAGTTCTGTGTCCCCTTTCTTCAGCAACTTTGAAATATCAAAATAGAACAGAAAACCTTTTCCAAGCCGACAGCATGTTTCACTGTTAAGATTTGTGGAAGAGTGAAACCAACAGCATAAGTCCTTTGTATATCAGAGTCCAGCTTGTCATCGCAGTACTTTCTCAGGCACTCAGAAAACATCAGCACTAATATTGCTAGTGGTTACCAAGACAATTTCAGCATATGTTGTTGTAATCAGTTGGATTTCTTGCCTTGCATTCATATTAGCAGAGCTTAACGTTACCTCTGTGCAGACAGTAGTGTCTGTGTACTTACCTAATGACTTGAGAAGAGACTATGGAAGGGTTTGTGTAAGAAGGAATCTTTTCTAAGATGAGCACAATGAATGCTGCTGGGAAGATGCTCTGGATTTTGGTACCTGCTCTGGCAGGACTTTTACATATCTCAGAATTGCTCTCTTGCTTTGTGTATCAGTTTGTAAAATAGGAACTGTAGGATATCATTCAGTGTTATTCTGTCAGGCATTTTGAGGTCAATTAATGAAAGAGAAAAAAGAAGCAGTGAGTAGTTGTTTCTACTGTAGGTTGTTTTATTATACGTGTACAACAGGTATTCTGATTGCTGTCTTGTTTCTAGCAGTCCTGCTGGATAATTCTGCATTTGATTAATGGCCTGGGGTTTGAATCTATTTCCCTCATGTATTTCATTGCTTTAACGTTTACTGTATTGCAGAGTATGGAAAGCTTTAGCTCATCCAGGCCTATAGACAGAACAGGACCTGATGACATGGAAGTTTTATCTGAAGAAAGGTGATTTTCTTTCTTTCTTTTATTTTTAACTGATTAAATATATGTACACTTTATTTTCCTTGTGATTGTAGTACTCAGAGACAGAATATGAGGGTTACGTTTAGTTATGCTGCAGAGCAATGTTACCTGTTACCATGTTAGCTTCAGAGTGGAATTGTATGGAGGCACTGCTCACAGCATGTGGGCTCTGTCCTACTCTGGATGTCAGCAAGTCTCCCAGTCTAGAAGGAGCAGCACAGAAAATGCTGATGGTGCAGACTTGAAAAGAAGTTGAGCTGTAGGCATCTGAGCCTGCATGCTCTTCACAGGGGACTGCACAGCAGCAGATGCCTTCTTACCTGGCCTTTGGCTTGGGAATCAGCCCCTTTCTTTGTGCTCCACTCTCCTATGAAAGCTGTATAATAGCTGCACTTTGCTCTCCTAGTACAACATTTCTTTCTGCAAATAAGCTTGTTGGGAGAGGTGTATTTGTTTGTAAAGGTACAAATAGCTCCTGAGAAGAAGCAAAACAGATAGCTTAGCATTTTGAAGTGCTGTAAGCCTGCATCCCTTCATTTAGTGAAATGCATCAACAAACATGGAGTATCTGAAGTATCTGAAAACTTGAGTATCCAGGAGTCATGGTTGTTTTTATTGTAAGTGCGGTTTTGTGTTTGTAATATGTTGATTGTTTTTGTTTTGTTTTGTAGCAAAGAAAGTGAAAGCGGTGAGGGTTTTTTCAGGCATTCTCAGGTTGGTAATTTTTCTTTCCTCGTTTCAGTTTTGTGTGCTCTAAATGGGCTTTTTATTGAGTAGAAACAAGTAGTTAGGCATGTTCTGTATTCCCAGTGAAATGTTTTTCTCCCGGAGAAATGGAGTTAGCATTTGCTTTTTCTTTCCCACCCCTGTCCTTTTTTACTTACGTAATTAAGGACTCTCTCAAGTATTGATGATCCCGAAAGCATCTGCTTCAGTCCCTTCAATCCTTCCTTGCCAAAACAAGAAGCATGAAGTTGAGCACTGTGGTTTGAGTGATACTGAGTTCCTTTGCAGTCATTGCAAATAGAGTGTATAACTGCTTATCTCCCAGGGTAGCAAGATTAGTTTGTGTCTCTTGATTTATCTAAAATAATTTTGGTCTTTTATTTGTGATTTCTCCAGTGTGGCTGGTTACCTGGGAACGCAGGTGTCCCTGATCATTTCTCCTACAAACCTGGTTTGACTCCTGCTTCTCTTTGAGGGCTGGTGGTTGAAATGAATGTCAGGAGGGGAGTAAAAGGGAATTAGGCATTTGTCAACAACTTTGTGCCAGATTTTCCATTTCTGTTCAACACTCCTGTATCTGCTTGATGGTTTTCCATCCTAACTTCTCATTAAAGAGAAGACTTAAGTTGTGTTAGGTGAGCACCTTTGAAGCCACCAGTTTATCTTTGCCTGATATACCTCTAGACATCTAAAACAGTGGGGGAAGTTACCTGAGGCACCTCTGCCTCAATTGTGCACCCATTTTAGAGGAGAACTCTAACAGCTGTAGACAGCATCTGGCATCTCTGGCCAGATGGATTTAGTGGAGGGCTGTGAGTATTTTTAAACCAGCATTCTCAGGTTTTGTTTTGAGTTGTTGGTATTTTGTTATGTTTGTTTGTTTTGACTGTTGTTTTTTTTGTTTGTTTGTTGCTGCAGGGGGTAATTTTTTTCTTCTTTCCTCCCTTCCTCCATTCTTTCTCTCTAGCAGAGAAGACACAAGAGACTATTGTTGGGCTCTGACCAGCAATGGAGTAGCTGCTCCTCTACAAGAGGGTGCTCAGCACTTGCTTTGATCGTTGCTTTTATTAGGCTTAGCCAGATCTTCTGCTTTGCTCCTAGAGAGGCATTAATCCCCAGGTTTCCTGCACATGGCAGCACTAATTCCTGGCAGCTCTGACTCGTGAGCTGTTGTATTTCCCGGAATACAAACTCTGCAACACCTCCAAATTCTTACTGCATGTGGAAAAGGTGCTGTTGCTGCCATGCCACAGAGTGCTTCCATTCAACTTTCAAATTAGTTTGGAGAGGAGATATGTTTGAATGTGAAATTATGGTCTTAAAATTAACTCATTAAGAAGAGTTTTAAAATTCAGTGCTAACTGTGGGAGGAGATGTAGTCATAACCCTCATAACTCATAAATCTCATAGGAGATGGCATTATATAGGAATTACAAGGTCAGGAAAATGTTACATTCCTGCAGAGTAGTTTTACATTCCTTTTCCTGTAAAAGCCTGTTGCTTTAGGGTAGCTTAAAAACATACCTTTTGTAGGAAATATTCAGAATGAGGAAGGGACGTTGTTAATTTCTTCTCACTTGATCTGAAAATGTTACGAGAGGTATTTGGAATTGCTTCTAGCTATTGCCTTACAGACCTAAGGCAGTAAAAATACCTTGAAACATAGGTCTTGAATGAGTTTTCAGTGGTTTTGTAGCATTCATTATCTGCCCTTGGAGTAGCTAGGTTCCGGGATGAAAATAAGTAGTTTCTAATACCCAAATTTTGTTGAGGGAAGTTGTTCTGAACAGAACCTGAGTATCACTTTCTCAGTAGAAGTCTGCATGCAGCCTGAGACCCTCACTCTAAGAAACACTGTTTGCCACAATGTTGCCTATACTTCGAATGCAGTAACACAGAAATATTTGTCAACTTGTTGATGACATTCAGGTAGTGTACTAAGTCTGGAAACCAGAAAAACTTGTATTTTGTCTGGTGGCAAAGCAAGAAGAGAACTGCAGAAGTTTTCCATCTGATAACTTTGGCCACATAATCCACTTTCATTACCAAGCTCTTCTGTAGACAAGAGTCCACAATGTGGAGAGTTAAATTGCACTTATTTTCAGAAAATACTTGAGGGTAGGTCATTCTTTTCTTTGTTGATGTAGCAAAGTACTTAACTTTCAAGATTGACCCAGCTCTGCAACCAGTGTAGGGGAGAAATGGCATGAATCAGGATTGAGCTGGCAGCGTGTTTGATTTTTTGCATTTAGTTATATTATCAGGAGATGCTTAAGAATGCTTCTTGCTGGTGGTTGCAATGGATGATCAGATGTAGGGGAAGTATATCTTTTGTATAAAATTCATTTGAATCCACGTGCAACTGAACAGAACACAGCTTCCTCCTGATCTGAATTCAGAGATCTGTTTCCATTTATTTCTTGCTGCTGGAGCCACTCTTTATGCTGAATCTCCTTTGGAGCAGAGAAAGCTGCAGACTTATCCCCAGGTTATTTACATCTGTAGTTATTAGTGACTGCAAAGCAGATTCTAAAAAGCATAGTCAAGTGCCTAGTTTAAAATTTTTTTTAGTCATTTATGTAATATGTGCAATGCAGCATGGCTGCCAACTGCTTCTGAGATCATAAAGTTGCTGCCCCTTTGATTTATGAGAAACAGTGGCATATCTTTTCCTAAAGCGAGGCAGTTCTGCCTTGGTTTTTGTCCCGAAGGTTGGGAACTGGAGGTATCAGGAAATCAAATGAGAAAGTAAGCAATGAGGATACTGAATTACCTACCAATTTGTGAGTTTTAATTCAAAGAAGGTTAAACATCTGCCTTCTTGTGTCTCCTGGGTTTATACTAACATTGTTTTTCGTAACACCTAATGATTTATTCATTGTATTAGAGGCTACATCACTGAGCAAGTGAGCACAGAAAGGCCAGTGACTGGCTGCAGGCACAGCACAGGCCTGATTGAAAACATTTCTGACAAGTGAATTGACTTTAGAAGGAAAATGTGCATATAACCTTCCTACTATCTGTAGTGGAGATGTTTACGCATCTGGGAGAGTGTCCTTTTGTCTGCTACAAACATCTTTTCAGGGTCGTGGTAAGTCAGTACACTCTTCGTAGAAAGATGTTTAGTTCTGTAATCAGTATCAGTGATGGTAATGATACACTGTTTTGAGGCTGCTCCCTTTTGAAATAGTTAAAATGTAGGTAAGCTCTTCACACTTGTTACATGCTGTTCTTAATGGCATCAATTTGAAGCTTATCACTTGATTTCTTTTGGCCTTAAAGATCTGTGCTGGCAATTTAAATGCAGTTTATAAACTGGTACAGTTTGTTCTCTAGCAAGTGCAAAATACTGCCTGTTTCTGGCCGCTGGCCAGTCTTTCTGTTTATAATGTACACTGACTATCTCAATTCTGGCAGGAAAAGGAAATAACATTTTACTGGACCTTGAAGAACTATTTAAGTCCTCCCAACCTAGAAGCAGCTTAAAAGTTGTTGAGTGGTGAATTAGCATTTTTCCATGTGCAGCTTTCACAATAACCACATTTGTAATCAGATTTAGCGTCAATCTGTACGAGTTATTAGTGCCTTGGCAAACTGTCATTTGGTGTTTCCTTTTGTTATAATGTTTTTAAAAGGTGATTTATTGAAATGAAAAGGAAATACAAACCTTATACAAATACAGCACAGAACAGTGTTTACTAATACTAGGATGTTCATCATCCAGGTAGATGGGACTGGATCCAAATAAAAACATTCTTCGTGCAATGTGTGAATTGGGCAGGTATTTTTCCTTCTCTACGTAAAGATTACATGTTTTTCTCAGCTAAGAGGAAAAGTAAAAAACAACATGCAAGTTTTATGGCCGTGAAAAAAGCCTGAAATGTGCCTTACTGATATCCACTAAAAATATTGATTTGGTACAGTTTGGCCATGCTTCAGAATTTACAAGAAAAAGAAGTCCAAATGTAGAAGTTAGTTTTTTTAGACACATTGTCTTCACACATTAGCTGAAGCAGATTGTAAATAGATTATCAGAATACCTGTGGGGAAAAAGTCTGTATGTTGCTTACCTGCTAGACAATATTTGAGAGACCAAACACTTCGAGTGTAACACTGTGCATTCGCATGGCTCTGTGTCTCCCGAGTTTGGACGTGTCCCACTACGTGTTTGTGCACATGCTTTACTCTTCCTGTTCCCCACGGCCCTCTGTGAGCCATTACAGCTTGTTTATTTTATTGTGGTCAAACTGCCTGTGTCACGAAGCCCTGTTGCAGTGCACGCACAGTGTACCTGGCTGAGATTTCTCCACAAAAGCACACGCTGTGTGTGGTGTGTCAGGATGAGTAGTGGTGAGGCAAACAGCAGTTACCTCTAGGTAGCATTAAATTATGAACCATTTACTTGACAGCATTCTGCCATTATTTTTTGTTGTTGTTGCTTTCTTAAGTCATTGGATGTTTGTGCGAATGTTTTGGCTCGTTCCCAGAGTCCGCACTGCTTTCCAGCTGAGATGCCAAACCCCACTGCCGTTTGGATTTGCGCAACACTGCTTTAATACCCAGAGCTCCTCCATAAATAGTTCTGCTCTCCCCACGCCCAGCTAGAGAACAACCACAGGAAATCGGGGAATGTGCAGCCTGCACAGCTTAGCTGGCACTAATTGATTTGAGCCAGCACAGCCTGCATGAGAGCACTTGTGTACGTAGCCTGCACTGCTTGCTGTCTGCAGCTGCTACCAGTGCCTGATTTTTAGGAGACCACGTATTGCCTCAGCCTTGCAACAGCATTTTTGTTGCCGTTCCAAGGAGCAGCACTCCTGTAGGAACTCTTTGCAGCTTCCTCTTCCTCTCCCTTCCTCCCTGCGGTCCTCCCTCCCTTTTCACCCCAATCAGTCAAGCAGAAGCTTTTTCAGCTGCATGCTGTTGTCAGGGCAGGCAGCGTCAGGAACTTGCTGTGGCTTCCTGAAGAAGGGAAGATTCAAGGGAGGCAAATAGATGTTTTTATCAGTGTCAGTGATTGGTACGTAGGGGCCACTGCAAAAGGCTTTGAATTTGGAACTGGAAATGTCAGGTTCTTTTTATTTTGACTTTTTTATTTAAAAGCGTGAGCTTACTGCTGCTGTGACTGCAGGGTTTTATTCCTGCCTCTTCATCTCAAATTTTTTTTTTCCCCCCCTCATTTCTGTGGGAATATAGCAGCCTTCAAGTATGAAGATTCAAGAACACCCAAGCATTCCTGAAAACAAGCTGCAAAGAAATCAAGATGCTGATGATCAGGAAAACAGCTTTGTGTCAGAAGTGCCTCGGCTGGATTTGACAACGCTGTGCGATGACAACAACTGGGAAGGTAGGATTTGTTTCATGGCTGTCCAAACGAGTTAAAAGAGAGAAGGAAACCTCAGTGGGCTGGGTATATCTTTTTGTGCTGAAGTTCCCTTGCCAAAAACAACAGGAAAGCAATTTTGTCCTGAATATGGAACTGAAAGTTTGGAGAAATTGGAAGTGAAATTCTAAATGGTTACTAGTTCCACTTGTCCCTTTGAGAAAGAAAATATGTTGTTTTATTCTTGAAGTTATGTTCATGTGCTATTTGATACTGTAAGTCCCTGTGTGCTTTAGAATAACTTATTTCTTGATGGCTGGTTGCTTGACTGCTAAGCCGGAGCTCTAAGTAATAGTGCTTTCTTCAAAGAAACTGAATATTTCACAATCAGGAAGGAAAAGTCTTCTTTCTTTCTATTCTTTTACTTCTGTTGTTATTTGGAAGTAAAGATTCAGATCTGGAAAGGACAGCTGGGGGGAAAAAATGGCTGTCTATCTAGTACTTTGTACCTTCATTATTCTTATAAACAATATCTTTTGAATGTATGCTGTGAAAAAGTTAAGATCACAGGCTCAAAGGGCAATGTAAAATTGCTTGTGGTTTAAATTACTTTAATATAGTTCATTAACACTCATCTCCATAATGAAATCTGTCGTGCAGAGTTTGAGCATTGTGAACTTCCATTTCATTTGAAACAGAGGGAATCTGAAGTAGTCCAGCATTTCTGGGACCTTCTCACTTACTGTGTCTCTCTCCTTTCTACAAGCAGGAATTGTCCTGCTCATTTATGCTTCAGAAGTGAGAGAGAGGTTTTGACAGGGAAGAAATGGGAAGATGCAAGCATTGTATTGTACCAGTCAAAGCAAGAGGGGAAAGATGTCTAACTGTAGTTTATTAATCTAGAAAGGAGCACTGAAAAGTTAGTTAAGTTCTCTGGTCCTATCTCCACAGTGTACGTGAGTTGATGTACTTTGCCTTTCTGTCTAGTTAAGACACCTTGAGCATAAGTAAAGAAAAGCCACAAGCCCTGGCTGCCTTTGATGCAACCACGCAGCCAGTCACCATGGACAGAAGAGAGTTTCTCCGCTGGCTTATTAGCGGGGATTCCCTGGGTGATATCACCAGGCGTGCGGCGCGGCTGATCAAAGTGATGCAGAAGGGCTCCCGCGGGGCCTTGGCTGCCCTGGTGTTGGTGAGGTGCCAATCAGCACAGTCCCTCAGGGCCTCGGGCCGGGTGATCACGTCTGTGTTCCCAGAGGTGATGTGTGGCTGCAGCCATCATGTGAACCTCTGGAAATAAAGACTCTTTTTTTCTTCTCAGTGCACGCCTGTGGCAAGCAGTGTTACGAATGGGAGTCATATGAGCATGTGAAGGGCAGAACACAGCTCCCTTCTGTCTGACAGAGGTTTTCCCATGGTGTGAATTACGTTGCACCTTGGTACAAATCCCTCACTGTAGGTGTGTGTTTGTGTTTGGATCCCAGCTTTCTTGCACTGCAAATACAAAACAGGATTTATGAGCACCTGTGACTGCATTTGAGAGTGCTTCTTTCAGATTCTTCCTCCATTTTGTTCAGATGTTTTTCACAAGAGGAAGAGGTAGGTAGCTGCAAACAAATGGGCTCTAGAGTGAGAGAGATGTGATCTCCTAGAACACTTGCTTACGAGAATCACCATTTGGTTAGTTTGGGTTCGAATGCAGCAAAATGGTGGCCTCTGCATCTGAGCAAGGAGACAGGGAAGATTCTGTATCTGTGGATGTGAAATCAAGCTTTCTAAAGCCAGAAAGGGCTCGATGCTAACATCTACTTTGGGATTTCTACTTCTGATGGCAGAGACTGTTAGTGAGGGTATGCAAGGCAGGGTTGTGCCACTCATGCACAGCTCCAACAGGCCAAGTACTGTCTCTTCCCTGCCAGCATGCATCACTCAGGGCTTTATACATCTCATCTGTGTCCTTACTGCACCTCTGGCCCTTCCCCAGTGGAAAGGGAAAGACCCTATGTCTTCAGCTATGGTAATGACCAGTTATTTGCTGTACCTTTGGAGTGAGTTCCTTTGCAGGAGCTACTACAGGAGGTGCAGGGTATGGTGTGAGCAGGCTGCTGGCAGAGCATCTGCGTGCTGAGGGGGAGGCACCATCAGCTGTAGCTGTCACTGCCTCTGCACACAGGCTGAGGAAGAGCCTTGCAGAATGGGCACAGAATTACATAAGGCAGCCCTGTCTGCTGACTAGCTCTTATTCTTCACTCAGGCAGATTTCCTATCATGTTAAGACCAACGCTGTCATAAACAACACTGATTCAGGGGCACTGCACTGCAATAGCTGCAGTGTGAACTGGCAGAGTTATTCTAGAAATAATTTTTACCTGATTATTTTAAAGATTTGCTGTGCAGTCAGACTTGTACACAAGAGGAGAGATTAGATATACTTCTATGGGATGTGTTCCTCTTGCTGTGGACTGTGTTGGAATTGAATGCCATGAGTGGGAAGGACACAGTGTTCTCTCAGAATCCAGTGCTATTGTGCAGAATTCTTACCAAATGTTGCTAATTCAAGCACAGAATTTGTTATCCTGCCCTCAAGGAAAAATCTGGAAGTATGTTGCTCTGCTAATAGTGGCTGGCCCTGTCATCAGCTTGGAGCTGAGCAGATAGTTCAGTAAGTTGATCTGACACGTGTGATTGCTACCTATGTCACCTCATTACTGAGGTTTTAAAAAAGGGTTCTGTAAATGAAATTTGAAGCAAAGTTTGCAGTAACAAGCTCTTAGGAAACAATCAGCAGTCATTTTTCTTTTAAGCTTAAAAAAAAAACAAGGCTAAAAGCGGAAGTTTAAAATGAATAAGCATTCTCCTCAATTTTGAGAACCCAAGTATTGTAGCACTAAGACCCTGAGGGTGAAGCTGATCTCCAAATAGTTTTGAGGCGGATTTAATTGATACTTTCCCATAAAAAAAAGGAGGGTAATGAGAAGGAAAAAAGCATACAGCAAAGAAACAACATTCTAGAATTGTTTTTGACACTAGCCTTACATCAGTGTATTTGTGTGCAACAGACATAAATCAAACGGTGGTGAAACATTGTGTTTTTATCACCGTATGTAGAAATGAATAATTGCATTGTTTACAGATTTCATTTTATAGCAGCAGTATTAAAAAAAAAAAAAACAGCATTTATTATGATGCAACACTATTTGCAAATTGCAAAATTGACTGGATAGCTGGTAAATGTTTCATCTCACTGACAAATTAAGGTAGCTCTTTGCTTGGGCCGTTCTTTTCGATTTATTTAGGAGGAATATGCCAGTGCTGTTTAAGGATGTAAAATGCTGACCAAGTGAATGTTTTGAGGTTTTGAATTGCTTTATTCGTTCCATTATGAGATGTCTTTCTGGGGTCTACTAAGGGAGAATTTAGTGCTAGGACCTCAGGTGTTGTAATTAGTTTAGGCTTTTTAATCCCTCGAGACCTACTTCAGTTCACAGCAGTGAAGATTTTAGCCTCCTGGGGCTGTCACGTGTGTGCTGAAGCAGAATACGTCAGCTGTATGGCTACAGAGAGAGCACAAGCCCTCGATGGCCTTTTGCTGGCTGTACCTCTGGGCAGATGCACATGGCAGTACCCCTCTGCTGGCCCTGCAGCCCCCAGTAATCCTGTCACAAATAAAAAGCAGTGCAATTAAAGAAGAAATAAAAAGTCAGACAGCAGGATGGCATGGAGCTGATAATAACCCCTACTGTATTTTATAAAATTCGTTTTTCTTCTTGCTTGATACAGGTTTATTAATAAGACCAGTCCTTTGTGTGGCAGATTGATGCTGCAACAGGTGTATGAATGCCTACAGGGTTTTGCAGAGCAACACCTGGCAGATGGCTGACAGCTTTGTTAAAAGATTAGCTGGTGGTGACATTGGAGAGGAGTGCGTCACTGCTGAGGGTCTGCAGGCTCCATATCAGTATTTCACTTCTGTGAAGTGACAACTTGGAAAAGGCAAGAAAAAAAACCTGGAAGAAACACGAGAGTCTGACCAGGAAATAGAAAATTTGCTCACCTTTTCTCTACACTGGCACAGCCATTCTGGTTAAATATTCCCAAAGCTATTTATTTTTTTTTCCACAAAAGGCTTTTGTTATGAACGAAAGAATTACACAGAAGGAATACAGAGGCTTTCTCAGAGTGAGAGATCTGTTCAAGACAAAAGAGTACAGGTAGCTGCTCTGTCAAGTCAGTGACAAAGAAAAGGCAAAAAATTAACTTTTTTTACTGAGACTTTTATTCACTTAGCAGAAATAGCCACAGTATTAAAACTAATAAATATTTCAAACCTGAACTGTTAAGTCCAGGAATTAGCAGTCTTTGGAAAGGGCTTAAAACTTTCATATATGTATCTTTTGTAAATAAATAACAAAAGAGGCTATAGCTTCTGTTGAGCATGGGTTGATTGTTCACTATCAGAAAAGGAAGCTTCTTACCCTGAGTGGGTTACTATTTGTTTGTGCGCTCCAAGTTTCTGGCACCCGATCCATGTAAAGAACAGGACAGCCAGTCTGTAACTCTGATCCAGTTCATGGTCTGATGTAGATAAGATCCGTAATTCTAAATAACTACATATGTTCCTTTATTATTTGCTTTATTCCTTTTGTTTATGTCCCTTCGTTTTAGTA